CTGAGTGCTGCTATGATGCTCTTGCTGACCTCCTGTTGGTGGTTTGACATTTTTCCTCGTGAAAAGCTGCATATGTTTTCCCATCACACAATTGTTGCCAGTTTTGTTTACTGTCACTTTAGAGACAAAAACAAAGCAAAACAGGCGCGGTCCGTGTTGAAGGTTGTGTGGTGTTGGTTTTGTTTACCTGGGGGAGGCAATAGGACGTTTTCATTGACTCTGACATCTCCAGCTGCTCAGCAAGGAGCTATTTATACTCATTACTTTGGTCTTTTTTCACCATGTGCATGTCTGACGTGAGTGGTACGGCTGTGCGTGTGTGTGTGTGTGTGTGCTCTATAGACGTGTCAACTGGCAAACATAACAGTGTGAACTACTACAGAATTACCTCAATTTTTATTGCTTTTTTTGCTTAGAAGAATTTTAGAAAAATGCCTTAATGTTGAAATGTAAATGGCATTAATTTACCAGATCCAGCTTTAAATATAAACAGGTGATCTTGAGTTGATCTTCATATGGAGGGTTTTTACTTGAACGATAACTACTAGAAGGCAGTAAATTTAATCCGAGGTTAATTTGCACAGTGCATATCCATACCTTCATGAAGACAGGACTGTTACCTGACTTACTGAGATTTAAGTGGCATTGTTGCTTCACTGTACGTGTTTGTGTTGAAGATTTGGAATTCAAAAGTCATAATACTGTTTGTGACAGTCAGTAACAATAGTGAAAGCGTATCAACTTTCAATCTGCAGTCGTGGAGCAAATTGCTACCGTATTGCATTGATCATGCTCGTTAGAAAAGTGGCATTTCTGAATCTTTGGAACTTCAACAGTGTAGCACTTCCAACTTGTCATTATCATGTGATCACATATTAAATTTTGCTGTTAATATGATAATTTCTTGAAACATGTTAAAAATTTACATGACAAGGTGAAAAAGCAAAGACACGTATCTGGCACTGAATACTGTTATGTAAAATAATTTGGTGTTTAACTGTATAAATATATTCATGACTGTTACCTTTAAATAGACAATGTTTAGTGATGTTTCAAGAGATGGATGGCTATAGAGAGTGGTGCAATAAGGTATCTGGGCATTGTGCACTATGTCTATATGCACTTTGGTTTATCAGGGATATTTTATTAGTGTTTTGTATGTACTTAACATAATATTAAAGATGTGCCAATTCAGTTTGCTTTTCAATATTTTTTATGAGACTAATGTGTACCAAAGTGACTGTGAAACTGATTTATTTTTTTCTTACTGATGTTTTGGAGATATACTTCCAGTCTGTCATGCATACTGCAAGTAAAAATAAATAAAAGTTCAGCAAATCTAGATATTTTGGTTTGGATAGTGGACAACAATTTCATTCTAACAGTCGTAAGATACCAAGTTTATTTATGTAACTTATCAGATGTCACTGCACTTATCACTTAATGCACTTTCATGCATTTTTTTCATGCATGCTTGTATCAGATTGATGTGACACAAGGCAGAATGTTCAGAGGGAACTCTGTATGGTACCTAAAATGTACGTAAAGCTTTGCAGGCACGTGCAGTCCTTTGTGCAGAGTTATGCCTGCAGATAGCAGCTGTTCTAGTTCTTAAAGGCTGGAAACACGTTTGAAAAGATGTCAACAGGTTTGAGAACATGTCTCAAACCAAAGTACTATCCTTAGGTTCCTAAGGAAGGTGTAGGTTTTTTTCCTATTCAGTTTAGCATTTGAAAACTGAATTACGCATTTGAAAACAGGAATGAGAGTGTTGTTTTTCCTGCAACAAACAACAACTGGAGTATAAATACGATGCAAGAAAGATATTTTCAGCCTTCTCTGTCAGTAGTAGAATTTTAAAGCAGCAGTGATCTTTATTAGCTTATTTTAGGCTGATATGTTTGCCAATTAAACACCTATAATGCCCTATTTTGTTAAGTGAGAATGAGTGAAGAGGCGACGCCTAGACTTTCGGGGTTCACTTGGTATCTCTGCATCTGCTCTGGTTCTCTACTTTGCTGTAAGGTTGCTGGCAGGGTAAGTCAGTGCTCCTAGCAGGATGGTAAAATGGCAGTTCCAGAAACGTGCTGAGCGACCACATGCGCTCTGAATAAAGGCAAGTAATTGCAGTTACTCATCTTTTACCGAAAGAGTTGGTAGAGATTCAGTAAGAGCAGGGGAGAAGCAGAAGTGATTTCGTCTGTCTCAGCACTGTGGTCACAGAGAACATACTTGGCTATTGATGATGCCAAGCATTGGTCTGGCTGGCTTTCTCCTTAGCACTGTCCTCTCCTTTGAGCCCTCTGGTTCCTATTTCTTTCTGCCTGGGCTGTGTGTTGGGATTTTCCTTCCCTGTAGTTCCAGAAAGTCCTGGCTCCACCACCTCACCCTCGAGGCACAGGAGATACAGAGCTTGTCTGTAGAACGGAGCACAGGGAGCTTTCTTGACGTGGAGCCTTCTCACCCTGCCCCATCTGTCCTCTTCCAATCAACCCAGTCCTCATATCCTCTGAGCAGAAATCATATGAGCTTGAGCCATCTCTGAGTGGACTTTCATTGAGGTTCTTATAGGCAGTAAAACAGTATGATCACTTTCCCTTTAACTCCTTAACCTACAGCACGCCACCTGCAGTTCAGCAGGAGCAGGATCTGGCATGAAACCTGTATTGTAATGTTGCAATGTAACAGTGGTCATAGTAGCTGTTGACAGTTTAGGACCTGTCAATCACCATTCTTTCCCTTTTGTTATGCTTTATTTTTCACTCAGACACAAAAATCAGAGCTTTTTATTGAGTCTCCCAGTGGCCAATGGGCTGGCTTGGTTCCATCCCACTGGAGTTTGTTGGCAGCTCCTATCTAGGAAGAGGAGGAAAACCTTATGCTGAATAAATACCCCAGTTCTTTTTCAAGCATGGGAACATACTCAGGCAATGCTGCCATCGGTCTTCAGGGTAGCACTTGCAGAACACAAAGCCAAAAATTGGCACTCATGTCTATTTTGTGGATGGGGCCAGTGCACAGAGTTCAAATCAGGTTTTGCTTCCCTGCAAGTGAGTTGAGCTTTAGGTTTAGCATAAAGTCTGCTTTTGCTGACAGAAGGCTCATTTGCCAGTTTCCCAGCCCACGTTACATACCAAACCCTCAGCCCACTGCCAAAGCTTCAGCTGTGTTTCTTTTACCAATTAATGTGAAAAAGCTCTTTATTTATCTGTTCCCTTTTTCTCTTTCAGAAGATCATTGTCAAGGAGACAAGTCAATGTTTTGCCGCATGGAAGTTCTCTCTCGGTACTGTTCAATCCCTGGTTACAACAAGCTCTGTTGCAAATCCTGTAATATGTACAACAACGTAACAGAGGAAGGCAATGCAACAGATTCTAACGCAAATAAGAATAACGTCATTGAGGAGGAGCTCTTGACAACCCTCAGCCCTCTCACGGGAGCTTCCACCACACAACCTGCCACCACCAGTCCTCCTCCTGTTTCCAAACCCCACGTGCCTCCTTCCAATGCCACTGATGAGCACCCCGAAATTAACGCGGTGGATGTGCCCTATAAAATCGATGGGCTGGATAACGAAGTGTCACAGCACAACATCATCACACAGAGGAGGATACCTTACGAAAGGACGAGGAATCAAAGGATCCAGGAGCTGATTGCTGAGAAAAGGAAAAAAGAGACTCTCAGAAAAATAAACTAAAATGGAAATACAGCACAAACATTTTTCTCTTATAGAGATGTTACCAACATCGTAGTATTGCCCATGTCATAGAGACTGAAAATGGGGAAATATCAAAGTGGTGCTATGGCAGAGATGCCAAAGTCTAAAACCTACTATAAATGGAAAGGACAGATTGTTTTGTAAGTGCTAATCTGAACACTTTGACGGCTAGGATTCCAGGGTACAGGAGACTGTTAGTGCAATATCATGACAGCATTTCACTGAATCCCAACAAACCTTAATGCCTAGGCCAGGTTAGCAGGTTTTTTGTTTATGGGCTCCTTTATGTCTTCTATGGCTGCGTAAAACTTCTTGGGAGCGGTAATGTGAGTTACATTTAGGATGGAGGAAAATGGTCCCGAGACATTAAGAACCCCTTTAATCCTGACAAGCAGGTGGTCAGCAATCCTGTGATGCTTCCACGCGTTGCGCAGAGCCAGGCGCTAACCCAGCTCCGGTTCAGGAAGGTGCTTAAGGACGAGCCAGACCACGCTTAGCTGCCTTAGGCAAAGCTGCAGCTGGGCACGTACTTACGTAGCTTTCCTAACCAGGACTCTGTAAGAAAATATATAGAAAATTCTGTAGCCATATATTTATGTGTAAATTAAAAACTGGCAACCAGTAGCTTATGTGTTTCCATAAACATTTCAGAGGATTCTCCTAAAAGTTTGGATATACATGCAAGGCGTTTTGTGTTAGGGCAGGTCTGGCCAACTTGGCCTGCTGACAGCCCGCTCTTTGTGTTTACAGGTATCCATTCATATCACGCAACAGCCTCAGTGACCTTGGGTGGTTGGTGCTTTTTTTGTTACCTGACTTTTTTCTACCCACAAGCTGTTGAAGTTAAAGATGACTGGATTCTTGTTGCCTTTTCTTTGGTGCTTTACTAGGAAAACGTGGCTTTTTTTCTCCCATAGGACAAGGTTATTTTTGAGGAAATAATTTTTAAAAAAATTCTCTTCCTTTCCTTCAGACAGCTTTATTAGCACAGAAGTGAACAACCGTTCCCTGTGCCCTACATCTAGATGTCCATGCATGTGCATGCAGTACCAGGTCTGCTGGAAACGTTGAGACGTGGAACCTAAGAACCCTTTGAGTACTTCTTTTCCCCTCAGGGTCATCATAGTTTTCACCAGTCATTCCAGATTCCTGGTTGGAGATCAGAAGACAAATGCAGATCAGTTGTTTGGTTCTGGGAGCACTCTGGGTGATGGGGAGGTCGGTGTGAACCAGCCTCTAGCATCTATCATCAGAATTATTTCTGCCATCCCAACAGTGTAGTAAGGAAGGAAATCAGGCACTGAAGGCTCCGTGCAGGGTCTGTGGAGAGCAGAAGTAGGTGAGGAAATGGTCCTTTCTCCCCAGCCCGGGACTCTCCCAGTACCAGCAGCATGCACTGCTGCCCTTCCTTCTGCAGGGGGCAGCCCAGCTTTTCTAATGTCCCCTAGCTTGGACTCTTCCCTTCATTTCCTCTTTGCTGGTCAGCCTCCTGCAGAGTCCCAGCTTCCCCATATCCTCCTTTTACCATTCTGCCCTGGTTCGGATTTTCCAGTCTGAGAATAAGATCCCATCCTCCAGCTATCGCAGCGTCTGCAGCTGCTCCAAGTTTGAAGCAAAGGCAGCTCTAAGCCTCTACACAGCCACATGGATGTCATCAGACACATCAGATTTCAAACAGTCCGTAAACTTTACTGCTGCCTAAGAACCTCAGAAGCACTGTACACGTTGTGACCCTGCCTGGGGCAGCCCTCCTTCATCCAACCACTGTGGCCGAATGTGCTGGAAAAGGGTCAAGAAAGAGCAGGTTTTGCAGTGCTGGTTGTCATAAGAAGCCTCTGAAGGCCAAGAGGCTGGTTTAGGAAAAGAGCCTGGTGGAGGGAGCTGAAGCAGAGGAGGGAAGTGTTGAGCAGGTGTGACATTGAGTCCCTTCGTATGAGAACTGTGTTGGTGCACTGGTGAGTGTTTAGAAGTCGTACAGGTGGTGCAGAGGTGGGAGTTGCACAGAAGGACACAACAGCCGGGAAGCACAGCAGGGCTGATGCGATCCTTCCTGCTTTGTGCCCCAGGAGGAGCACACCTGGGGCTGGGCTGACAGCTGGTGGCCATAGTGAGTATTTCTCACATTTCATATTTCCTTTACACAGATGCTGTTAAACTCATCTCTTCCCTTTCATGTTGTTATCCTGCTTTTAGGTCCATGGAAAATTAAAAACAAAACAAAACAAAAAAAAAACAACAAACCCAGGCTTTGTCATAGAAGTACATCCAAGCATATGATAAACTTTGGAAAGAGCCCCACCAAACCCAAGGATGGAGAAGGGTTGGGGCTTGGACTTACGCAAGAGGGAGGGAGGAGTTTGCTCTCTGCTTGGTACCTGTTTTCCTCTCTGTGACTTTGTGGAGATCCATGTTGCCAGCCTACAGAAGCCTGAGGTAATGCACCTTATAGCTTCTGGTCTTCCTTAGCATCAGGAATAGGCATAGGCAGCCAGGCAGTGTGAAGAAATGGCATGTGGGGAAGCACCCACAGCTCAGATGCTGCCATACAAGTAGCCTCCTCCTTCCAAAGGAGGAGTTGCATCTCAGTAGCAAGCAGGGCAGGAATTGGTGCAATTCAGGTGACCTTTCTGCAAAGGCAATGAGGATTCAGAAAGCTGATTCAAATTTGGGAACTTAACTGCATTGCCTTTTCTGTTCTCAGGCAAACAGACCAAGGGCAATTTTGCAGATAAGGTGAAAACTTTGGCTTTGTTTTGGATGGGGGGCAGCCTCCCAGAAAGCTGGTGCAGTGCTGTGCTCCACCTGGTGATAGCAGGGGAGTCCACACAGTGCTTGGTGCCACCTGCATTCAGGAAGGTCTCGCTCCTCTTTCAATCTCACCTTCTTATTTCTTGCTATTTTTAATTCTGTTGAATAATTTCCTAGCTGCTATTTGGGGAATACTGAAGTGACATTTGTAGGAGCAGCTTCAGTCTAGATTGCCCAGACACAGGCTGGCCCATCTCCTCCTGGAGCAGGAGCACCAGCTGCCTCCTCTTTACAGTCTTGCTGTACAAGGAAAAAAAAAAATCTCTGTACTGGGAAAAAGGCTCTCATTTCAGGCTGACATGCATATCTCAGAAGATGTTTTTCAGCAATTCCCTAGGATGGTAGTTTCCTAAGAACCTGTACCACTCTGGTACTGGAAAGCAGAGAGTTCAGAGCTCTTTTAAGAAAGAAAAAGCAGCACATGTCAATAGGTTGGGTAAGCTGGTACTTGTTCCTTGTCACACAGTGAAAATTTTGGTCATTTATTGGTTGGTTGAACTTTGACAACTGCATCCTCTTTCCTAAAGTGCTGCGACTGGGAAAGAGCATCGTCGGCATATGTCACCATTCTGCTGTTGCCTGAGTATGGCATTTTGACACATAATGAGCAGATTAGTATTTTAACTCATTCCCCAGAAACTAAAGAGATCAAATGTAAAGTAAACTGATTTGTACTCCTGCAGAGACTGTCTCAGAGCTCTGAGAACTAAAGCAAATGTACTCCCATTAAGCAACGCACTTTCTGATATGCATTTGCCGAGCCATACAATACACATCTCTCTAAGTTACCATTTTTCTTCTTGTTTAAGCTTAACATCCAAGTGTTACCTCCTCACACACAGAAAAAAAATAATGATCTCAAACCAATTCTGTTTCCTTTGGTTCCAATCTACTGCCATTTTTCCACCAACATTCCTTTACAGATTTCTGTAATCCATTATGAACGCATCACTTTTTGTATTCGTATATCCATTCAGTATTTAGAATCTCACAACATCTCCATAGAATGCTTTCAGCTATTTTGAGAACTTTATGAATGGTGCTTTTCCAGTACTCAAAGGGTTTTATGTTTTATTTTAGTAACACATTTAATGTCGTATTTACTCACCTACAATGCAGTATTAGCTATGTTCATCTGAGTATCTATATGCAACTTCCATTCACTTACATATACCTTAACAGAAAATTGCAATAAATAGCCTTTTTTTTTGTATATTAAAAGTGTATATACAAATTAGAATCTCTAATTTTATAATTTATTAAATTCAAATGTCTGTGTTCTTTTGCAAAGTGTTTGACTTTTCCCTGTGCATTTTGTTACTGAAGTTACATTGTGCAGAGATGCTAGGGAGGAGGAAACAGCATCTTCAGACCCAAAGGAAATTCAGATTTGTAAGACTTCATCTTGATGAATATTACGAAGCCCAAAACTGCATGGAAATCAATCAAACTTACTTACAGCTGCTTGAGGCTCTCATCCTTTGCATTCTGCTGGAATCCAGTCTGGTCCATGTATCATCTCCTTAACCACAGTTACTCAGACTTTCTCTTGGGACTGATGAGCCAATTTTGCTTTGCAAGTCCTGTTGATAGAATAATTACCTTTCCATGAAATGCTTTTGCATATATCTTCCTGCCCTATCCTGCATGCTCATAGCCAGGTTTCTTTTTAAGCATAATTGAATCTCTTCCATCTAATTGAACTTTGTTGCTTGAGGGTTTGAAAGATCCCTGCTTGCCTTGATTATCCTGTTAGCACCATGCAGTGCCCAGCATCTATAACCAGGTGACAAACCACCTCCATGTGGAAAAGAGGCACCCAATGGGTTCCCAGCACATCCAGCATGCTGCCCTTCTGCAGTCTTCCTCTCTGTGTCACCAAGACCAAACCTGACAATTTCAAGAAGTTTCCTCTTCCTCTCCCACCCTGTGCCAACTTCTGAGCCCCTCTGTGCCAGTTCTGAGACATGAGAAGCACCTGGGGCCCAAAGAGGAGCTCAGTGACACCAGCACAGGGCCTGCAGCTCTTCCCAACAGCAGCCTTGGAGCTGCTGTAGCCCCTGCAGGTTTCAGAGCCGCAGAGCTTCATTTCCCTAAATGTTATCCTTAAAGATACTGATGGGAGTATTCTCTGCCTTGTTTGCATGGACAACATCCTTTCAGGATCCTATTCCCACAGCACCCACAAATACTGGTGCATTGCCTGTTTCTGAGCACAAAGCCACATCTGGCTGCACAAATCTGCACAAAGGCAAACCCAGCATGTGTGGTGTACACACCAAAAGCAAGCTATAAGCTCTATGTCCGGGTTATGCACCACCCTGCAAAATGAGGCCTCAGCTTCTGTGCAAACTCTGCCTTCTGTGTCTGACAGTGTGCAGAGGGGACACCTCACAGTCTGTGCAGGAACCGCTGCCCTGGTCTGTTAGCTTTGGGAGAAAGAACTGACTCCTCATGGAGGTACACGTCTGAAATTTAAATGAGGTATGGAAAAACACATACATACAAAGGTACGAGGCCACATTATGCCAAACTGAAATGCTATAAATAAACCAATATTTTTATCTTATCTAATAAATATCCTCTGTGCTGGATTTCCAGGGGAAGTGGGAGTCAGCACTCTCCAAGCCACCAAAGCACATTAAAGAGGTCTGGCACCCAGGTGTGCACAGTGGCACTGAGCTCCGTGCTGGGCAGGTGAAGCACAGCCTGGCATGAGGTGGAAATGCTCTGAGAGGGCTCTCCCAGGGGGCACTTCCCAGGCTGAGCCAGAATCCCAGGGAAGGTGAGCACTGCACTGCTCAGAGCCATTGCAAGGCCTTCTGAAATGAGTGTGCCCACATTTCCAAACAGACAGGTTGCTCAGCCTCGCACCAATTGGTGAGGGCCTGCAACACTCCATCTGTGCAGCAGCCGGTTCCTTGCTTGCAAAAGAAATACCTGGTAATTTCCAGACAATCTCTGTGCATCAGTGATGGTGTTTGCACAAGCAGCCGCTGCTGGTTCCTGTGTGAGCTGCAGCCAAGGCAACAACTGCGGGTACGACATCTCTAACCCAGCTCCATCAAGTTAATAGGAAAACAGCCCATTAATGTTTCATGGGACAATCTTTGCTGCTTACCATAGCAACTGCAACACATGGGAGGTGAAGGGGCTGGGGGATGTAATTAGAGAGCACAAATCATCAGGAAGCTGGCACAAACCAGGTCGAACTCCTTTTCTTTCTTGAAATTTTAATGACAGAGACACAAGAAAGCAGCAGCTCTCTATGCCATGGCTTCTGAGTGCTGAGGAGTGCTCCTTTCCCGACACTCTGACACGATTTTAGCAGAGGAGCAGTGTGGCAGCATTACCAGCCATGCCCAAGCCCCTCACCCCATGTTTACCTGCAGCCCATTCCCACGGGCACTGTGGCTGCCTGGCACTCATGTGGGCATCAGTTAGCCACACCAATCCGCAGGGGCCTCTCCTCTTTTACTTTTTCTTACCTCTTTCATTGCTTTGAAAAACAGAGTGGTGTTTTCTCTCCACCCAAACAAAAGTTCCTTGCCACAGTCCAAGGAAAAGTTACTATCAAAGAGCATTGGAAATGCACAGCCTGCATAGTGCAGTTTAGCCACACAACAAAGTTCTAAGATGCCCGAAGGAATGCTGCTTATTTACCCTAATGCACCTCCTACTGCTGAGCCTGTTTAAGACAGCTTTCCCCTGGACTGAGAACATCTGAAAAAAGCCAATGACAGAAAAGCAGAGAAGCACTACCACCACATCATCCAGATCTCAGACACAACCAAGCCAATACTGTGTGTTTCCCTCAGCAGCTTAGGCACCACTTCCCTCACTGTCTTGCTGTTCATCCCATTTGGTTCTCACGCATCCAGGAGCACCGATGCCCTGTGCTCACCTGGGGAGGAGCAGGAGAGGGATGGGTTCATCAGAGCAGCACCTGGCAGCACTGCAAGAAACCCTGGGCAGTTCTGAGATGAAACAAACAAGCATTCAAACAAATGTAATTTCTTAGCGTAAGCCCAGACAGCTGTAGAAACTTACTTCCAGAGATAGAAGAGATGATTACTGTAAGGCTGTATTATTAGCCTGGTGTCAAAGAGAAACGCCCCTCACCTGACCCCACACAGCAAGGGCCCCAATTTCTTCTTCTTGGCAGTTTGTTGGAGAAGCCTAAAGAGAAGGAGAAAGTTGAAGTGTGAACTGGAGAACAACCCAGCTGGGCACTGCTGTTGGCAACTGGTGCAGAAAGGCTTAAGTTCATTTCCTTCAGCTGTGTGGCATCAGAAACAGAGACAAGCAGCTGAAGCTCACACACCTTTGATAATTAAATGCTAAGTAACAGCCAGCTGCAGAGAACAGCTAATCTCTGCTTGGAAGCACAGCCTGGAAGGATGGCAAGAGGCTTTGGAGCAGCTTATTTCTCTGCACAAGGGAGAACGAAAGAATCTGACTGATGGGCACAGACTTGAGTGAAACTGGCTGCCAGAGCAGCTTCTGGCCTGAATGCCAACCACACCAAGAACATTTGTACTAAAACTGAAGCAGCAATTTCCAACGCAGGATTTCTGCCCTTCTGCCCACACCTCCCAGCAGCTCAGGCCAGGTGAGGGAGCAGCCAGGTCAGGGAGCACAGGGATGCTGAAGTGCAGCTCGCTCACAGCATTTAGAATGAGGACAGCATTTAGAAATAAAAGCAGAGGGAGGATTCTGCTGCAAAATCACAATTCAGCTGGGCACCCGGCACACAAGAGGACATGCTGGAGTTACACAAGAGGCGCATGGAAGCAGAACACAAAGACCAGCCCTCACTGCGGAGCCCGACGGCCCTGCAGGTCAGGCGTTGCCAGCTCTCCCCACAAAGCAGTTTTCTGCAGTGCGTTGGCGTGTCTGCCGTGCAGCAGCAGCGTGCAGCGATGCAGCGCGGAGCTGAGCCGCGTGCGCTCCTGTCGCCCGGCTGCTTTGCTGCTCGGCTGCGTGCATCACAGCAGGGCTCAGCGGGAAGGGCTCCGGCAGGCTATATTTAGCAGCAACAACAAAACAGGCAGCCGGATCAGCTGACTGGGCGCAGCGAGCACGGGGTAGTTGTAGGCAGCACGTATCCTGCGCGGAAAGCAGGGCGAGAGAGAGCAGGGCACGGAGCTGGGAGGTACCCCATCATACCACGCCACCCGCAGGGGCTGCGGCTCAGGTAAGGGCAGGGCATCAGGTCATGGAGCGTTGTGCCCAGCACGGCCGGGATGGGCAGAGGTGGGAAGGGAGCGGGGAACAGCTGGGAGGTGGCACTGGGGGCCGGGAGGCTGTGGGTGGGGGTAGGGGATGATGAGCAATGGCAGATGACAGCAGGTGCTGACAGGTGACAGTGGGTGATTGCAGGTGACGATAGGGGTGTGACCTCTGCATGGTGCGGCAGCAGCAAGGATGGCATTTGGGCTGGAACCATTCCATCCCACTGGAAGCACAGTGCTGCTCATCCATCAGTAGCTGTTTGCTCCAGGAGGAAGGAGGTGGTGGCAGGGCTCTGTTAATGAGTCGAGCAGGGCTGAGCTAATGAGGCACCCACGGGGCACCTGTGCTACAGGTCCTGGTGCTGGGTTGAGAGGGGGGGACAAGCCTTCCCTTGGTTCTTAGAGAGGTGAGAGGAAAGGAGCATTGTATGGAATAAAAAAGGATAACAAACAGGCCCCGAGATTTAAAAGAAGCATCTCCCACTCTGAGTTCAGCAAAGCTCACCTTGGCTGGCATTGCCAGGAGCACCTGAAGGGGAAGCTGGGAGCAGCAGTGCGGGTAGGGCTGGGCACCTGGGTGCTCCCTGTGTGCATGGGGGAGCTGCGGCCCTGCAGAGCTTCAGCAAAGCCAGGTTTCCTTCCAGCATTGACAAGTGAGGCGTTCAAACAGTGAGCAGAGCACTTTTGTGTTCAATCACACAGCCAGGCTGGATGGTGCTGACAGATTATTCACATACAAATTCCACTGGAGATAGGAGAGTTAAAAATAAAAAATAAAAAAGAATTCAGGCGATGTGGTCATTTCTGCCAGAATGTGAGTTAAACAAAGCACGGGAAAGACTGTTTTGATATAAATGAAATAATCCCCATACAAGCATCCGGTGCAAGATGAAATATTTATAAGAAAAGGGCTTTACCTGACCAGTAAAAGACTACCTACCTGAGGGAAGGCCAGCCTAAAAAGAGTAGAGGACTGCTATATGCATAAAAAGGACATGAAGCTACATCAGCTTTTAGGTAAGGCTCCAGCAACCCGTAACTAAATTGATGAACCACTGGTAGAGACAAAACCAAGCCTTTGTACATTGCCATCTCCGCCTTGAAGCTTGTAGAGCAGACTGGCTGCAATGCTGTGCCAAAGCCACACAGTGCTCCCCACCTTTTGAGACCAGCTCTTGCAGGACCAGACCAAGTGTAAACCAGAGCCCTGTGTCAGTGAGCGGGCCAGCTGAGGATTGAACAGGGAGAGGAGATGTCCCTTGGGGTTACAGGCTGGACGTGAGACAAGCTGGTGATTAAACAGAGCACTGCTGTGGCTGGTGAACTGCATTAGTTCAGAAGGGAGCACAGTTGCTTATCCCCACAAATATCTTTAATGAACCTTTTATTTTCTACTGCACTTAACAATATGGCTTCCTTTGTACCTATAGGCTCTTCTGGAAATCATAGATATAAAAATCCTGCCAGCACTGTAGAGTGATGCTTCTGTAAACACCACTCTAGGCCATAAAGAAATATTGAGTGGATCTAGTAGCACAGATTTCAGAGCAACAACCCTGGGATTTCCTTACCATGGCTGTGTTTCCCCTGCTGATCTTACCTTGTCTGTCTTTGCAGCCATGGCTCCTCGGATAAGACTGAATGTTTCAAAGCCTCTCCCAACCATCTGTGAAACCCATGAGGAGGCAATGGAAGACCTAACCAGCAACGCAAAGCACACTGCAAACACTTCAACCAACCCAGATCTGTACTCTAGCGATGATTACATTCAATCTATCTGCCACCTCGCCAGACCCACCTTCCCAGGCATTCCTGAAAGCAGCCATAGGGTTCAGGACAGAAGAATCCTGCAGACTCTGGAAGCCATGTCATGGTCCCCATCCCAGCAAGAAATGTCAATGTGTAAACTGACCAATTTCATCTCAAATGTGATGCCGCCAGGAAAAACTACATCTGCTCCTGATGATGCAGAAGCCGACTTCTGGTCCAGAGAGGACCCTCTGGCACAGATCTACAGGCACGCAGGAAATCTCTGCTCCTCCAAGGGTTTGTGGAGCAGAAGCTCCAGCACTGACTCCTCACAGTGCACCTCCTCCAGCCACCTGGACTCCCTTCGTCCCCCAGCCGTGAAAGAAGAAGCTCCAGGGAGAACACATTTCTCACGGATGTTCAGTTTTCCAAGGATTCCCTCTCCAAGGCCAATGCAGAAAGAAACGCTCTGCTCAGAGCTGAGGTGTCTCAGAAAAGATGAGGGAGCGGTTGAAGGGAGCAATCACAGTCAGAAAGAAGATGCTCTTGGGTTTATTAACGCTGAAGAGCTACTGCTGTGCTCAGCCAGAGCGAAGCTACTAGGAAATCGGGTTTTGCACTGCTCTGGAAGGAGGCAGGGTTTGTTTGAGGCAGCAGGTGCTGATGAAAAAGGGAGAGAAACTTCTCACTGTGACAAAAACACAGTGGGTGATGTTCCCAGTAAACAGAGATACTCCAAGTGCTTCCAGGCAGCTAAAAAAGCCGTGATTCATAATTGGATTTCAGAGCACAGATGCATGTGGAAAGAAGCAAAGATAAAAGCTTGTTTGCTCCCAGCCATTGCTGAAGTGTGAAAAAGTATCTGTTCCGAATAATGTTGTTTGCAAGAAATAACCACCCTGTGCTCTAGAAGCTCTCCCTGGAGTCCTTATGTGGAAAACACAGCTTGAATGTGCATGCAAGTCAGAAAACCTTTTGTGATCCATCTTACCCCTCATCAGTGGACAAATGGACGACTTGGAGTCCAGTCCTCTGAGGAAGCAGCAATTAATTCTCATTTTGGAAAGGCAACGGTTCATAAAGCATTGCCCCACACCTATTGCCTTGAACTGCCCTGAGCATGGAGAAAATTGAAGAGCCATCTGTTTTGAAGAAGTAATCTGAAGGAAAAGAAAAAACAACAACCCACACACCTACTGCTATTTCACAGCAGATGCCAAACAGCCAGATGTTACACAATCTTGGGTACAGTTATTCTGAAAGAAACATCCTGAACGGTGCTTGGACAGTACTAAATATGCCCTCACTGACACATGCATTCACTGAGACACACTGCATAGATCACTGCATCAACACCAGAATACCACTGGGTCAGTCATCCGTTAGTGCTTTCATGTGAAGGAATATTTTTAATAGCTGTAAGAAGCCTGTGATGAGGATTTGTTAGAGGACAACATGGAAAATACTGAAACTGTTCCAGGTGGGACTTTTCCCCTTTCTTAGCATTGCAAAAATGTATGACTTTCACTTCTCAACCTAACCTTGTTGGAGATGACTGGGAGCTCTGGGTGAGCATTGTGAACACTGGTGTAGTGCTGCTGCCCTGGCCCTGCAGGAAATCAGGGTCCCAGTGCTCTGCTCCCATCGGTGTCTGCACAGCTGTCTGTGCTGGGTGGGAGCGGAGCTGGGAGCTGAGCAAGCTCTGTGCACGTATGAATTGTGTCTGTCTCCCTTCACGCGTGTGCTTCTCTAGTTTCCCCCACTTGGTCACACTGACTTTTCTATGCCTGCTGCTGTGAGACTGAAACATGAATTAAACAAAACCCATCATAAGAAGTCCCCGGGACAAGCCCTTTGTTGCTGATGCTGCAGGGATGGCTGCAGGAGGAGCAGTGCTGCTGTGGGATCCCAGCATACTGAGCACACAGTCAGGTCATCTTGTAACCACCACACTGAGACAGCTTTGTCTCCTGAAACCTTCACTCACTGTCACAGTCCCACAGCACACAGCATTGCAAGAGGAGCAGGTGAGAAAACTGCTAAGTAACGCCAGTGCAATCATTGCAGCCGCTGCCACAAATCAATCCTTTGGCAGGGAGCAGCCATGAGGACCGGGTTGCTTGCTCAACTGCAGCCAGGATGGGA